CCCCCACCCCCACTCCCCGCTGCCTCTTTCTGATAGAGGCAGCAAGGGGGTGGGGGAGAGACTAGTCGACTAGCCTGTTGACTATCTGGTAAGCATTTGTTTATTGGATAGTTGAGCAGTCAAGTGGTTGTTCACATCCTTAACACCTACTCCCTGCTGGTCCAGTGGGATTATAGCTATTCTGGTCCCCATCTCTGGCACCTTGCTGCCCCCCTGTGGTCAACTGTTCCTGCAAGCAGTCCCCTCCCTTTCTGTGTTATGGAAAATAATTATATTCCAGGCACATCCCATTGTCCTGAGACAGTCAAACCTTTACCTTGCTTTTCAAGTTATGATAAGGGTTCTGCATACCAAATTTGGTGGTTCTAGCTCTTACCATTTAGAAGGAGTTCTTGAACAAACAGATGGATTAATAGACAGACTCACTCACTCACAGACAAACTTTCTCTCATATATAGCTGATAAAGAGAAAGTAGAACATTGAATGGGATGTTTTGTTTATTAGTTAATTAAAGGTTCGTCACATAGGTGCTTTTATGCTGTGGTAAGTCACCTAGAGGCAGCAGCACAGGACCTCGGGCAGAACTGGTCTGCGTGGGGAGCTGGTTTGTAAACCAATTCCCCTTGTGGACCAGCTCTTGCCTGCAACCCTGCGCTGCTGCATCTGATAGAGAGGCAGTAGCCCAGAATGGCAGGGGGCTCCCCAGGAGTAGGGCCAGGAGCGCACTGGCTGTTGGCCCACCCTCAGGGACTATCAAATAGTCATATAATGGCTAAAATTTTATGAAGTTACACAACTATTCAGTCATACTCTTAAATCCCTAGTCCTGAGGGTTGTGCCTAATTGATGGCATCTGCTGTCTCCTCTGTACTTTGTCACAAGCGTGAAGTGCAGCAGGTGTGCCCCTGTTGCTGGACTTGCCAGCAACAGATCCTCCTCACTTCATTAGGATTAGGAGCACTTGCAGTGCAGCTTGGCTTCTAGAACCACCAATCCATGGGAAGCCAGGCATCAGTCTTTACAATTAGGAGAGCCAGACAGTGGGCTTCAAAGCCTGTGCCCCAAACTTAGGGAAACATGAATGTAGATATTAGAACCTCCTGGGATGGCTTTCCAGATTATTACAGTACTTGATTTCTGAAGATTTCAGAAGTCCCTCATAGATCTCCATATTATTAGTGTTCAGTGTTTTTGTTTTAGAACTGATATTAGTTCGTTGAAGAATTATTTGAAAAAATTACAAAATAGTTTTTCAAGCCATTTATTCAAGTATAACTCAGGGGTGGGCAATAATTTTGGAAGGGGAACCACTTCACAAATTTTGGAAGTGGTCGTGAGCTGACCCAGAAGGGGTGTGGCCTGGGGTGGAAGGATCGTGGCCTCTGGCAGAAGGGGCAGGGTTAAGAATTACCCTGCTAGTCATGGTGACCTTATTTTCTGAACCAGCTGCTGATAATAAGAACAGTTTAATTTAAATTATGAAACAGTTAAACTAATGTGAGAAAGATTAAGCGTTTTATCAAAGTTCATTTTCAATAAAGTAAAGTATTATGTCCAACACAAAAAGTGTCAGTGTTTTCTTTATTTATGTCAGGGGTGGGGAACCCTTTTTAGGTCAGGGGTCATTGACCCACAAAAGGATCAGTTGGGGGCCACACAAGTGAGAAGCAAAAAAACTCCTCCAAAACCTCCAACACTCACAGATGTGGCCTCAACTGAGACACCTCACTCCTCTAGTGCCCCAGCCTCAAGAGGTTAGGGGAAAGGAAGGGGGAAACTGAGGTTCAGGGCTTCCCAGAGACCAGATTTACTTTTCTGGGGTTCTGGAGTTAGTGGATTTTATGGACCTCCTTAGATTTTGGGGTAGGGACAAAAATGAGGGGTAAAGTGCACGAGACAGGGCTGCCAGTAAGTAGGATAGGGATGGGGTGCAGGATCTTGGAGGGAGCTGAGGTGCAGAAGCAGGCTGGGAGTAGGGTGTCTGGGCAGGTGGTGGGAGCCGGAACAGGGAGAGTGCAGTGTGTGGCCAGGAGAGAGGGTGCAAGAACAGGGGAGGGTGTCGGAGCAAGTTGAGATTGCTGGGTCTTGGTGGGGAGGGAAGTGACAGGATTGGGGTGGGGGTGGTCTGGGCATGAGGGGGAATCTTACCATATTTCTTGCCCCCTTGCAGCAACAGCTGCAGCCACGCTGTCCCAGCTGCCTTAGAGGGAGGCCCCTCTGCCGC